GGAGCCCCTGGGGCTACAGCCTTCCTTACCTTGTGGAAAGGGGGCTTCCTCAAAAGTCTCCAAGCTGTTCTTTCACCTTGGAAGGGTTTTCAAAAGAAGGCCTTGGGTGATGACTGACAGGCCTCTCATGCTTTCCTCTGGGTGCTGAATCACTCTCTGATGCTTGTAACCACAAGCCCTCCTTCCCCCAGTGAGAAAACTTCCTTCCTTCTATGGGTGTATTGCTCACTCTTAACCCACTGGGCCCCTGCACACTTCATGGCTTAGCAGACACTCTCTCAGATTATACAGAACATTTTCCTCATGACCCAAGCCTGGCAATGGGTCTGTGGATGCAGAGGTTGAAATGACCTGGGGATGAAAGGGAACAGAGCTCAGAGAGGTAACTGGTTAAAGGCAGACTATATGCAGGACACCATGCTAAGTGTGAGTCATTACCTCTTTTGTCCTCACAAAAGCATTATGAGCCCCCGGCCCCCCATTCCAGAGGCTGGGGGCCAGACCCCGCCCCCACCTCCCTTGCACCCTGGAGCCCGCCCCAGCTCCCGCTGCCCCCACCTCCAGCCCAGCCTAACCTGGCTCTCCCAGCCTTCCTGGACAGCCAGGACTCAGTCCCTGTCCCCGGCCTGCGGCTTTAGCTGTCCTCTTCTTCCTGCACCCCTTCCCCAGTCCACCACTTCCTTACCTCCAGCTGCAAGCTGGACACTGCGATATTCAATTCCAAACAAGGGGTAAAGGACCTAGCTGATCAAGGTCCATTTGGCATCAGGAATCCTCATCCCTCCCTCTCCTTTACCCTTAGGAGTTACACTCAGCCTGACTTTGTAAAGGAGACCTTAATCCAGCCTGAAGGAGAAGTGGCTTTGACTCTGCTGTCCTGGCCCTCTCAGTGGGACCAGGGGGACCCCCCCCTACAGTGCTGTGACCTTCAAGAGACTTTACTCCACAACTCTGTATAGCAAAGTCAGAAGCAAACACCTTCTGTGTCGTGGGATGAAGTCCCACCTCGATTTCCAGTGCTCAGGAATAGCTGTGACCTTTGAGGCCCATGGGAGACCCTAATCCTTGGTCCCATGATCTTTGGGCTTCTCAGGGCCGGGTGTGAGGAGTGTGTAAGAATGGGGCCCTGCAGAAGGGGTGGAAAAAAGTGGAAGGAACTCCTCCCTCTCACCCCCCCCACCCCCACTCCCTTCACCTCTGAAGTTTCCAACCCTCTGGCTTCCTCCCAGTGCCAGGGAGAGAGAACCAGTGCCTGCCAGGGACAAAAGGCCCCTCTAGGTCCTTGAGGCCACCCCCCCTGGGATCCTCAGGCTTGTCACTGGGAATAAATAGCCTCAATCTGGGTGGGGGAGGGAGAAGGAAGAGTTGATGTACTGTTTGCAAAACAGACAACAATCCAGCCCTGGAAATAACCTTAGTGCCTAGAGTAGAGATTCAGGTGTCCACAGAGGCTCTCCTTTTCCCAGTGGGGTGCAGCCAAGCTCTCAAAGACTCATTCCCTGCCTGGCTGGGCTCCTGAGTTCTCTCTTCTCCCTTTTCTGAATCAGTCTGGGTTCCAGGTCACTCTCAAACCAGGTTTTCTTTCAAAATTAATTAATTGCTGGTTTATTGTTACTGCTACTGAACTGTAGTGCCATGAGGACAGGCCTTACTCCAGTGCCTTGTACATAATACCTAGCAGATGAATGAAGGACAGACATTGCTTTAATTTAATTTGTGCCCCCCTTTCTATGCTCCCCTCCAGCACAGCACCTGCTGTCTGTAATCCAGGAAGTGAACAGCTAACCCGTGGGCCCTTTCTCTGGCACTTGTCTTGCAGGTGTAGGGGACTCCCAGCCCTGGGGACTGTAGAGAAGACTGACTGGTTGGAGGAGATGACTGGAGTCCAGTGCTTTGGGGGAGGGGAGTAAAGGAGGGAGCAGCTTTCAGAGAGAGAGAAGGGTAAGGAGTAAGAAGGTGCTAGATAAAGGCAGAGTTGGTATTCTGGTTTTTATTCATGGCTTGAATCTTTTATTTTTAAAGATTAATCTATTTATGCATACAAGAACTGGGCTACAGGTCAGAGGTGAGGGGCGGGGCAGTGAGAAGATTCACCAGAGACAGAGTGGGGAGCAGTACAGGCAGATTGAAATACACTGCTGAGGGGGACAGCAGGCGGTCAGGAAAGGTCTGCAGCGCTATGGACATGTGAGCCTGGGATTGAACTCATGCTGCAGTGACTGCTGACAGCCTCGTAGTGCTGTTCTGTAATCTGCTGTCCCACCAGGAAGGGCCCCTCTTGGCCTGAATCTCTGCTGAACAGCCACTATTTCTGAGTTCTTACTTTGCTTCAGTCCCTGTTCAAACACCTTACATATACGAATGCACTGGTTAACTAAAACTTTATGAAATAGGTATCTTTATCTTTGTATTAAAGAGGGGGACTCAGCGAGTAAGTAGCCTATCAAGGGTAGCACAGTTAATAATGGCAAAGCTTGGGTTCAAATCCAGACAAATGGCAAGGCTCATTATGCAAAATAAATAAATAAAAATAAAAGAGAGCTTAGGCCGTAGGTTCTATTTTTTTAAAGATTTATTTATTTACTTATGCATACAGAACTGGGGTACAGATCAGAGGTATAGGGGGTGGTGAGAGGATTTACCAGAGACAGAGTGGGGAGCAGAACAGGCAGATATACTGAAATACAGTGCTGAGGGGAGCAGCAGGCAAGACAGGAGAGGTCTGCTGTGCCATGTGGGTCAGCTCCAGGGTCTTGGATCGAACCTGTGCTGAAGCAGCTGGGGCCAGCTTGTAATGCTGTGCCTCAACCCCAGGGAGGGCCCAGCCCTAAGGTTCTACAGGCTCTGTGGCCCTTTAACCTCTTTAAGACTCAATCTACTCATCCCATAAGAGTTGTTGACTCTTACAAAATTCTTGTGGGGACTCTGCACCTTCCACTTCTTCATGGTCAAGCAGCCAAGGTTCTGCTGCTTGGGCTTGGTGTCTGGAGGTCAGAAAGTGATTTCTGACTTGCCCCTGGGGGGGCAGGGTGGGGCAGGCAGCTTAGCCTAGGGCAGGGCTGTGTCCTTTCCCCTCCTGATTCCCGGATCTCCAGTGGGCTCACATTTCCCTTCTCGCTCTATTTCTGTTGACCCAGGAGGACGTGCCTCCGGGAGGTCTAGAGCTCAGTCACATGGACTCCCTGTTCCTGTTCCCTATTAGTCCTCCCCCCTCCCCAGGGGGACAGGTGTATTTGAGGCAGGGCTGGAAGCAGGGCCTGCATGCTGGAAGACTGGGGGTGGGATCTGGTTGTCCCTTCATCCACCCAGGAGCCCCTGGGGCTACAGCCTTCCTTACCTTGTGGAAAGGGGGCTTCCTCAAAAGTCTCCAAGCTGTTCTTTCACCTTGGAAGGGTTTTCAAAAGAAGGCCTTGGGTGATGACTGACAGGCCTCTCATGCTTTCCTCTGGGTGCTGAATCACTCTCTGATGCTTGTAACCACAAGCCCTCCTTCCCCCAGTGAGAAAACTTCCTTCCTTCTATGGGTGTATTGCTCACTCTTAACCCACTGGGCCCCTGCACACTTCATGGCTTAGCAGACACTCTCTCAGATTATACAGAACATTTTCCTCATGACCCAAGCCTGGCAATGGGTCTGTGGATGCAGAGGTTGAAATGACCTGGGGATGAAAGGGAACAGAGCTCAGAGAGGTAACTGGTTAAAGGCAGACTATATGCAGGATACCATGCTAAGTGTGAGTCATTACCTCTTTTGTCCTCACAAAAGCATTATGAGGTGGTCATTATTTTTACCTCACATCAGAGGTGCTCAACAGGTTCAGAGAGTTGGACATTGTGGCCTCAGGACACAAGCTGATAGGTGGTAGATGTACTACTCAGATTTGGGGTTGACTACAGGGTCCTCTCGTTCAGTGAATATGCCTCTCACTCCATGTCTTCAAGGGAAGTGGTAGGAGTGACTGGAGCTACCACTCTTTGCTGTGATGATTGAATTTCTTTTTTTAAATTTTATTTTTATGTAGAAGAACTGGGGTGTAGGCTAGAGGTGCAGGGCGTTAGAGGATTCACCAGAGATAGAGTAGGGAGTAAAACAATCAGATCTACTGAAATACACCGCTGAGGGGAGCAGCGGGCGAGACAGAAGAGGTCTGCTGTGCCATGTGGGTCAGATCTCTGGCTGGAGATCAAACTCAGGTCAGGCTGTAGCAGTGATAGCTCTGAGTCTTAACCCCTAGGCTACCAGGGAGGGTCAAGAATTTCTTAATGGAGAGAAGCTGGAAAGGTGGGCATGGGCCAGCTCATGAAGGGCTTTTTCTTTCGGTGTTAAGTTACAAATGAGACAGATTTTTATGACTGCATGTGGCTCAAGTTGAGCAAGGTTCAGATTCAGAGGCAGAATAACACTCCACAAGGCAGATCTCAGTTGCTTTCAGCTCTTTAGGCTCACTGGCCCACACCAGTGCCTAGGGGGCTGAGGAGATTTCCCCAGCGCTCCTCAGCTAGAGGGGGGAGACCTCTCTTGAGAAATGGGTACAACAACCAGACTCACTGAAGGTTATTGTCACATGGCACATGGGGGAGGGGCAGTGGGGGAACCAAATGCCCTGCACATAGGTGGCCTTTAACCAGTTACCTGTCTGAGCCCTGTTCCCCTTTGCCCTGCTCACTTCACCCTGTGTCCACACACCCACTGCTAGGCTTGGGTCATGAGGAAAATGTTTTTGTATATTCTGAAAGATGGTGTCTGATAAGCCATGAAGTGTCATGTGGGGTGTATGTGGGGGGGAGAGGGGGCGGGGACAGAAACCAAATGCCCATGGGCAGGGTCTCTGCTGTGCCCAACCTCCTCTCTGTCTTTAGAGGTTAGTTTAGTAATAACACTAACAATACTATCTCCAAATTGATTGTGAACTTGCTAAAGGGTGAACACAGCAATAAGCACTTTAAAAGCATTGCCTCATTTAATCCTTACAATCTGGGTATGGTATTATTACTTCTACGCGTTTCTACAAACGCGGACACCTAGGCTCATGGACGCTAACATTGCCTTGGCTGGGAGCACCTGAGATCAGAATACGCCTCCGCTGCAGATGACGATTGTTTTGTACCGCCTCGGCCATACATTCACTCACTCCCTTGAGGATGTGAGGGACTGAGAACTTCATAACTACTGCCACAACAAGTCCTCCATTCAACAGCGAGCCCTTGCAGAGTCCTATGAGGCAAGCGGGCATGCTATTATTATCTCCTTTTATGGATTAGAAAAATGATGCTCATAAGTCACAGCCAGTAAGTGGCAGAACCAGACATGGATTTTAGGTCTTTCATGTCTCCATGCGGCACTCTTCCAGGTATACAGTAAAAGTCACCAGACTCCTAGCTTTAAAAACACAGCGTTGACAAGAGGAGCAGCGCTATACGGGACTGCGCCTGCGCACGCGCCCAGTCCAGTTCAGCCTGCGGGCACTACCAGCCACGTGTTCTAGGTGCCAGCGCGGAACCCGAAGGCAAGATCTCGGTACACGTGGCCGAGCTCTGGCGAATAACAATTAAGTCCTACAAACTGACCAGACCAGACCTACGGAACTACACTTCCCAGAAGCCTCCTGGGGTAGCGCCTGGGCTCGAGGACGTACTTCCGGGAAAGCGGGCTCCGCATGGGCTGCGGAGAGGAAGTGGGCGGTCCTAAGCGTCTGGTGGTTTGGCCTGTTTCCGGCAGCGTCGTTGGACGTGGGGACTGAGACGTGTGGAACCGGTGTTATCTACTGAGCTTTTTCCAGGCGTGCGGGGACATGGCGGCGGCTTTTCGGAAGGCGGCTAAGTCCCGGCAGCGGGAACACCGAGAGAGAAGTCAGGTAAATCCGCATGGGGCCCACGGACGCAGGCTCGGGGACCCCTGCGCGGCTCTCGCCTCAGCCCATCGCTGCCGCCGGGTGATGCCACCACCTCCGAGAGATGCTGCTAATAAATCCATGCAAATATATGCAATGACGTCGGCGAGACTGGGGTGACGTGCGGCTCCTGGGAGGGGCGCCGGCTGCTCTCCGTTGTAGGGGGCGGGGGGTGGGGGGCAGAATCAAAGCTATCCCGCAAGTTTTCATTGGTTGAAATGAGTGTGTCTAAAGTGACATTCTATGAGGAAGTAGAGGTCGAAGCTCACGGAGCCACTAAGTTGTCCTGGCGGGAGTGGGAACCTGGGCCCTGTCTCCTGGGGGAGGGGCAGCGGTGATGGCAGAGGGCGACGTGGTTCCTGCAGATCTGCCACCAACCCTTCTTGTCTAACCCTGACCCTTCTTGTCTAACCCTGCCGTGTTGATGTTTTCCTTCCATCTTTCTTTATACAGAAAAGAGAACTGGCCTAGAGAGCAAAAGTGACTTGCCTGGTCCCAAACACCACATTCAGGCAGAATAACCAGCTGTAGGTTTCTGTGGAGGGGGTGTCTGTGTGGGGAGGAGGGGAAACTGGCTTAATATTTGCAGAATCAATTTCTCCATCTCGCTGTTCCCGTCAAGTCCCATAATACCCAACCAGAGGCCCTTAGAGATGTCTGGTCCAACTTCATCTTACAGATGGGGAGGAGAAGGACACGGATGTATTTGGAGCTGGTGTCGCTGACTGCTGGACTAGGACTAAGGTTTCTCTCTTAGTCACAGTTCAAGCTTCCTGCATACTTATTAGACATTGTGCGCTGTGTGCGCTCGCTGTATGCTCAGTGGTGTGCTGGGAGCAGTCGTGTCATTTGTCACATGTGGACCTGTCTAAAGGTAGTAGTAGCAGCTAGAAGTGCTTGCTGTGTGCCAGGGCTAGGCAGAGTGCAACAGGCTTGGTGCTCATTATCCAACTCTCAAGTGTGGAAATAGGTACTAGTATTTTTTCATGTTTGCAGATGGAGAAACTAATGTGTAGATAGGTTAAGTAGTTTACCCAAAGACATATAAGACATATAACTAGGGCTGGGAAGTGGCAAGCCAGGTATCAGGCAGTTTTATGAGATGGGACATAAAAATGCCAGATGAGGAGTTTGAGTAAGAAGAAGAGAGATGATCAGAGAAAGTATTATGGTGAAATTTTTTGGTCTTAGAAGGCAATGGTAATAGCTACTGCCTTCTGAGCACTATTCCATGGCTGGGCACAGCCCTACATGCTTTACATGGGTAGCTCTTAGAATCCCACAGCATCCTTGTGAGGTGCATGTTGTCCTCATCTTACATGTGAGGAATCTGATGATGAAAAAGATCCAAATACTTTGTTTCCATGAGTCCAGAATAATACTTGTAGTTATTTTCCTTTAGCAGAGAAGACAGGGCTTTCAAGACTGGCCATGAGCATGACATGACCACGTCTGAGTGTAAGTAGAGGGTCTTTGAGGGACAGTTGAGGAGAAGGACATGCTGGAAAGGTGGGTAAGCTCACTGACTAGAGCTCTCCCACTTGGTAAAATTTGGACCTTGTTGTATAGGCAGTGGGAAGTTAACAAACATATTTGGATGGAGGGCTTTGTGTAACTTCAGGTGCAATACTTCTTTTCCTTCTAGACAGCAGATGTACATTCAAGTGAAAGTAACAGAAGCCAACACCTCATATTCTCGCCCTTTCGACTCTTGAGTTTTCTTTCTCCACTCTGTCAACCTCCTTGTTATCAAAATAAAAGTGATCTGGGGATTGTGTGTTTAAATACTTAGTTATTTATTTTATCACTTCAGGGATAAAAGATGAAAAGCCTCTTGAAACCCCATTCAGATTAAACAAGTTTAAACAGTAGAGAAGTGTATGAATGTCTTTAGAAATCTCAAATTATTTAGCCCAGAAGCGGATACACTTTAGTGAGGTGGGGGAGAATAGGCTGCGCCCCAGAGTGAACGGGTTGAGTTCTAGCTCTGCTGTTTAATAGCTCTGTGTTCTTGGGCAAGTCATTTTCTAAACCTCATCATTCCTTTTCTGGAAATCAGTACCTGTGTTCTATGATTGTTGTGGGGATTATGTGAGATTGTGTGTAAGGAGCATAACGTTTTAACAGAGTAAGTGCTTAATAAGTGGTATGTTTAGGTGCGGACAAAAGCATCTAGCACAGACCCTGGTATACATTAAGTGTTGAAAACAGTAGCTTGTAGAAGGTTTAATATTGTACCTTCGTTGTTAGTCAAGTTCTGTGTCAGAGAAAGTGTTTCTGTAACACTTGGTTTTCTTTCATACTTTGTACCAAAGGTACAGTGATAATAATAACCATTGCTGGGCACCTGCTATGTGCCAAGCCAGAAGTAGGCCCTTCCTTATAAAGGCTCATTTTGCCCTCACAGCATCTTGTGAACTAGGTAATAATCATTCTCTTATGTTAGGAAACAGCAGCTCAGAGAAGTGAAGTGATTCACCTACGGTCACAGGTTATTAAGAAAAGGTAAAGTTGGTTTTGAACCAATTCTCTGGACTCTAAATTTAGCTTCTCTACTGCAATTGCTTCCCTGTTACTATGTTTTCCCTTCGTAGTATTTTATAAGCCCATGGATTAAGCTTGTAGTAATTTTAGTACAGCTGGCAACTGCTTACTTAGTGCCGAGTCATTGTTGCCTCTCTGTCCTTAATTGGTCACGAACCTAGCCTGCTGGTGACCTCTCTGGCACCTTCGTGGTCCCTCTCATCCTTGGACAGAGCCTGTTTGGGGGAGAAAAGAGGGGGTCGCAAATTGGCTCCAAGGATTTGGGATTTCTGAGCACTGCAGACACTCTTGTTTCTCTTGCCTGTTGGTGTCATGTTCATTTGGACACATTTATCCTTACTGAGGAAACTAAGCACCTTTTTTCTTTTTTGTCTTCTAGCCTGGTTTTCGAAAACGCCTGGGACTGCTGGAGAAAAAGAAAGACTACAAACTTCGAGCAAAGTGAGTTCAAGTTTTTCTGGTCCAGGTGCTGCCAAGAATGCTTCCACCTTCCCTGCACTGCAGGGAATGGCCCAAGTGTCCAACAGGGAATAACTTCCTGCCATTGATAAAATGGCTAGGGCTCTGGCAGCCTGGCAGTGACTTGTCTGTGATCCTAAACTTCTCTTTGTTTAGGCAGAGTGTTATTTAACTGTAATTGCATTGTGGATTTTTTTTATTATATTGTTCTAGATCATTTTCTCATAGTAGCTTTGATTTGCTCCTGCCTTGGTGTTTGAGCCAAAAATTGAGTCTTTCTTCTCTCCCTTTTCTTGAAGTGCAAGATACAATCTAAGATTCCAGTTATTTAGTCTCTTACGTCACCATATGTATGCTATGGAATGAAGAGATGTGATAGATGGATTCATAAAGCTGAGTGTGGGTGATAATGAACTGAAAACATTTTGTAAAACAGTTATCACCATTCTTCTTCTTTTGCACTTTTATTTGCAAAATACTTTATAGTTGTTTGTTAGTCATGTTCCTGGTATGGATGGAGATGGGTTGAGTGGATTGCTGTGGGCCCGGAGTTTTAAGGCTAACAGTGATAACCTAGTGCTGTTATTAGGTCAGTTGTGCTCTAGGATATTTATGATTCTTACACTCATTGCTCCCAGTAACTTTCTGGAATTCTGTTGTTATCATACCCATTTTGTAAATGGAGTTACAATTGACCAACTTGTCTGAGATTACTCAGCCAGCAGTGGTGAAGTCAGAACTTGCACCCAGATAGTCTGGTTCAGAGTTCTTGCTCCTAGTTATGCTGCTCTACTACACTGTGTAGTTTCTGAATCTTAGTGCCCAGGTGTGCTTCAGAACCCGTCTGAGGACATTTAATCTGTTTTGCTTGGTATTTCTCTAATATGAAAACACACATGAGATGGGGACAGCTAATTTCAGGCAGGCTCATGATAGGAGAAAACCCTATAAAGACCCGAGCTCAGTATTAGTAGTGACGGAGTGTAGATGAAATCTAATCATTGATTTGGCTTTTGGTGTTTTCATTTTATGTGAACTTTAGATACTGGTAAAGTTTGCTTATTGTGAGGTTTCTTGTTTTCTGCTATGAACCTTTAAAATTGCTTTTTAGTGACTACCGGAAGAAGCAAGAATACCTTAGAGCTCTCCGGAAGAAGGCTCTTGAAAAAAACCCCGATGAATTCTACTATAAAATGACTCGGGTTAAACTCCAGGTGGGTGGTGAATGGGTCAGTTGGTGTCTTGAGTTCCACTTCAGCAATGGAATAAGGATGGGGAAGAGTACAGACGAGAACCTTCTGCCTTTCTGTAGTTGCTCCAGGGGCTGTTAGTCAGCAACCAGGGCAGAACTGCCTCTTCATGGGCAGTGTGTATTTCTCCTTCTGAATCTGAGCTATCTTTTGCCTGAAATTGTTCTAAGAGTGGGGACTGGAGGTACTAAATTGAGTGTGCACTTTGGGATCTCATGCATTCAGGTGCTGTTACATATGGCATCAGGTTGTCTTTGTTCCGGCCGTGAGCTGTTCCAGTAACTTATTAATGGTTTAATCTAATAGAGCCTGTATCTTTTAAATTTGGATCTTAGGATGGAGTTCATGTTATTAAGGAGACTAAGGAAGAAGTAACACCAGAACAGCTGAAACTGATGAGAACACAGGATGTCAAATATGTAGAAATGAAGAGGGTGGCAGAAGCGAAGGTAACAACTAAAATGCTTTGTTCTGATGTGTCCTTTGTTGGTTAAGAAGGGAAATAGGGCCTCCCTGGTGGCACACGGGTCAAAGACACAGCGTGCTATCAAGCTATCGCCAGCACTGCAGCATAGGTTCCATCCCTGGCCAGGGAAGTGACCCACATGGCGCAGCAGACCTCTCCTGCCCCACCTACTGCTCCCCTCAGCAGTGTGTTTCAGTAGATCTGCTTATTCTGCTCCCCACTCTGTCTGTGGTGAATCCTCTCAACCCCTACACCCCTGGTCTACACTCCAGTTCTTGAATGCATAAACAAACAAACAAATAAATAAATCTTTAGGGGGAAATAAGGCAGAAATAGAAGCCACTGAGTCAAGTTATAAGTTGACTTTTGGCACTTATAAAGTATGCTTAATTGTGATAATGCTAGAGAAGTAGTGTCAGTGTGGTGGAGTGGGAAGAGCTCAAGTTAGAGAGTGAGACAGACTTAGGTATGAACTCTGCCTCTACTGTTTGATAGTCCCATGGTTATGGACAAATTAATCTCCCTCAGACTGTTTCCTCAGTTCTGTTTCATAGAATTATTGTAAGGGTTAGTGAGTTTTGTGTTGGTGCTGTATAAATTTTAATGATCCTTTCTTAATTTAAAGAATGCAGCAGATTCTTTGCTGATTGGTGCTAATGAATGGAATGTTTTAAACTTTTGTGAATTCATTTCTCCAGAAGATATAAAAGGAGACCCTATTTTGTATTGTAGAAAATTGAAAGACTAAAATCAGAGCTCCATCTGCTGGATTTCCAGGGGAAGCAACAGAATAAGCATACATTTTTTTTTGACACCAAGAAAGAAGGTACGAAATGTTTTGAAGGTTTCTGGGACAAGTTGGCATATTTTCTGTGTCCAGTGGCAATAGATATAGTGTCTTAAGGATTGTCTTGACTTATAGTTGAACAGTTTGATGTTGCAACTCACCTGCGAACAGCCCCGGAACTAATTGACAGAGTCTTTAATAGACCCACGATAGAAACCTTGCAGAAGGAGAAAGTGAAAGGAGTTACCTATCGAAATGGATTGAAGGTAAATTTCTCCATTTTTCTCAGTTCCAAGTTTAGAGGGAATCTAGATTTTTTTTTTGTTTTGTTTTGAAACTTCATTTAATATCATTATTTGTGAAAATAAGTTCCCTTAGAAAAGAGGGCTTGATGATGGGATGGAAGTGAAGGAGGTTTCCTGGGCTTCTGAGGTTGAAGGATGTGTCGCATCGAGGCCAGGAGCTTAGGTTCTGGTCTTTAGATCTTCAATTGAAACTTTGCTTTGACCCTGGGCTTTATCTTTTAATGCCAGTAACAGATACCGTTTATTATTATTATTATTATTATAGTTTATTTTTACATCATTTTGTGCCTTTTTCCATCTCAGTTGTAATCCCTGTGGGCTTCCCATCACCAAATCACCCTTGTGTCATCACCATAGAGATACTAGTGGTTTTAGAGTGTAAAGAAGGGAGGGATGCTGAAGATTAAGGGGTTTGGTTATACCTTGATGTTGAACCTTTACCAGTGAATACTCATACCAAAGTCTTTCGGATTATGCATTTGTAACCAAAATTTTATACAGACTTTTCCTTATGGTGCTTTCCACCATTAACTGGGTTTGTGCAGAAGACATGCTTTTTCCAAAGCCTTCTGGAGTTGAACTCTCACTTCTGACTGATTTCATTTAAAAAAATGCTGTCAATGTGTTTCAAGAAGACAGCTGTTCTGTTTTGATTTGAATCATTTACACCGCATCAGCTTTGCTTCCAATGTTTAATTTCACAGCAGTTTCTCTAGCTCAGAGGCAGCTAAACTTGCTTTAGTAATATAAATACCCCTAATTAGTTTGACTATATTGGGTAATCCCATAAATTTGACAGTCTGTGCAATAAAGTGAAAACAAAAGCTGTCTGAAACCACTGCTGTGAGACTCTGTGAGAATCGGTGAATTGTTTTAAGTCTGAGGCCCTGCAATATTCCCCTTTATGTAGATAATACTTCCAGCTGAGGAGCCAGCTGACTAGTGCTCTCATGATAACCTGACTTGTCAGTTAGTTGTATTTTCAAATAACCATGTCACTGATGCCTCTCAGGTGGACGAAGTCCCTACTACTGTGATCATTTCCAGAGAGATCAGTATCCCAACTCCTACGTGGAATCGTTTACCCTCATACCTTCTGAGAAATTGAGAAGGTTCAAATCTTGTCATTTTTGCTTAGCATTTCTTTTGATTGTTAAAGGCAAATTTATTTTAATGAAGAGACTGTTGCTGAGTGGTTTGTTTGGGAGTTTTTTTATTCTTTAATTGGGCTTTGAGAAGTTTGAACGCACTCATCCCATACTGAAATTGTGTGCAATAATTTCCCCAAATTTAAGGACCTGCTGGTCTTTGAGGTGTCATCAGCAGTGAGAATTCTCAAGTCAGTTTCTGCTGAAAATATCCATCTAGCCTCTGAGTTCTGTGGTTTTCAGATCCAACACCCACCTGGCTGCCCTCTGGTCTCTCTTCACTTTGTGTGGGTGTCCAGTGCTGGTTCATTCCTGCAGCACCTTAGGTAATGGTACATTCACGTAAAGGTGGAGACAACTTACTGTAGTAGTGGAAAGATTCCTGGGATCCGTGGGACTTCAGGGATAGTCCTGGCTCCACTCCAGGTAAACCATGTGTCCCTGGGCAAATCTCCAGGGTTCCTTTCAGCTCTAGTGTGTCATGTTCCTGAGACATACCTTTATAGTGTCTCCTTACTGCTCTGGTGAGGAGGGGTTGATGAGACCTTTATGCATCTGGGCTGAAGTGCATTAAGAAACAGTTTTTTAATTCACTTTTATGCTGTTATTTATCCTACTGAAAATGTGCATGTTTCTTCTGCAGCATATAGCTAAAGAGAGGCAAAAGCAGTATAGCTTCCTGACACAGAGGATTGAGCGTGAGAAGAAATTGTTCGTGATTGCACAGAAAATTCAAACACGCAAAGACCTTATGGTGAGGAATGAGGACCTTAGACTCCTTGTTTTTTCTCTCCTTTAAAGGTCTTAACGGCGACTGGATTTTAGCTGTGTGTAAATCAACCCCAGTGAAAATGCCTGCCCCTGAGGGGCAGTGTATGTTACCCCTTGGGGCAGTGTTGAAATGTTCTTGATTAAGAAGGTAATCAGGGTCTTATTAGTCAGCACTTTGGAACAGCAAAAGGTAGGATCAGGTAGCATGTGAACTTTCTAGCTTATGAGCAGCTATCTGTAACATTTAAACAGGTTAGCAAAACAGAGCATGTCACTCACTGATGTTTAAAAATAGACAACATTGTGTAATTAAATAGTAGAGCTAAGGACTGTTAGATGCGCTTTCATGTTATAGTCATTCCTCTGAATGTCAGGTTCTTGGGCTTTGCACATCATTTAGGTCTGTGTTTCTCAACTGGGGCTCTTTGGAGAACAAGACCTACGAGGAACGGTTTGCGTTCCTTTCTTCTCATTTGTCCCAAGAACTCCACACCAAGTGCTGTGAGAGGTGCCCAAGGGAGAAGCTGATTTGTTGCAGGCAGGAGTGCTTTAGGGCCGTAGGGCTTTGTCTTTCCTGAAAGTTGAGAAAGACTGAATTAAGGGCTCTTTATTTTATTTAGGTGTTTATTTTCTACATTTTAAAAGGACAGGTTTATTAGGAAAAGGGGAAAGAAATAGAGAGGAACCTGCATAGTCACAGGCAGGCTGGGGAGCTGCTAAGGTAAGGGCTTTTTAATAGGTAGTTCATTAATCTATTTTTATAAAACCTGTTTACTGATGTCCTTTTTACTTTTTTATAGGATAAAACTCAGAAAGTAAAGGTGAAGAATGAAACAGTGAATTCGCCAGCTATTTACAGATTTCAGAGTCGTCGAAAACGTTGAAGTGTTATGGATATGAATTCTGTGTTCTTTTTCCAGTAACTAGAGATTCCATTAATCTAAATGATGTGGTTTTCCTGTTTGTAACCATAATATATAGATCTGACATTTGATATATTTCTATGAGCAGCATAAATGCCCCTCCCCCCCATCTGACTATTTTGGGTTGTGAAATCAGTCTTTCATTTTATTATGAACTTTGTAACCTCATTACAGCAAATTTGGAAAATAAATGCATTCATTATCGAACCCCATACTTATTTAAGAACAGCCACACATTGTGTATTTACACTGCCAGGACCTAGGGCCATGGAGGGAACCACCAGCAAGAACATTCGGCTTATTTCCTCCCTTTGCAAAGGTAGCTACCGCTCTTTTGTTTGTGTTTTCTGTAGGTTGTAATTATGGTGAACAACTTATATTCTGTGTCCACTTCACTGTTAAATCATTAGTTCTTTTCCATTTTTATATCACTAAATTTTTTTTATTACAAAAGTTTATTTTTACCTCATTTTGTACATTTTTTTTCCATCTCGATCACTAAACTTTTAAAAAGTAATGATTTCATAGTAAAAATTTAAAAACCTTTAATGTTTGCGTAATGTTTTATGCATTGAATAGATTTATTTTACCTTCATTCGTTCATTTAGTGGATATTCAGGGGGCTTCATAAGTTAGCCAAGCTGTATACGTACAGCTGCAGGCAGAAACACTGGGAACTCGAACTTGCAGGCATTGCTTTATTGATGAAGGGCAGATTGGGGCAGAGCAGGCCCTCTTCACTCCTGGTGAATCATGATACTGAGGCCAAAAGTGGCTCGGCGTAGCCCTTTACCCTGGGATACAAACCCCAGAGTGTGAGCGGCGGTTTCCTTCTCCGCCCACAAGCTCCCCTTCCCTTCCCTGTCCATGTGTGGTGGTAAGCTGTGGCCATCAGGACAGGGCTGTGCGTGCTCAGAGAAAACAGTAGCGCAGCAGGGTTTTGGGAGGCTGGCTTACTCCTGGGAGCTGGTTCCCTCCGTCTAGAGAGGGAACAGCTGTGTGTAGATTTTAGATTAAAAAAGAAAAAAATCGTTGTTGAAACTTAAGCTATAAATTCCCACGATGGTGAGGTTCCTTTACAAAGCCTACAATGAAAACCTATTTCCTCAGAGTGTACCCAGTAGGATACATATCCGGGAACCTGGAAAATAGGGAGAAGGGCCGAGGAGTAGGAGCTTGGAGCTTTTTCCTTCTGGAGGGGATGCTTCCCAGTGTGTCTGTGAACTCCCCTTTGGGGAGGTGCTAAGCTAGGTAAATGTCAGTAAGTAAATGTTGACTTAGATGGAGGGGTCTGGACACTGAGTCCTGAGCCAGGGAGGGACTCATCACATGGGGGTTGGACAGGAGTGAGCAGACCAAGCTGCGCTCCGTTCTGGGACAAAAACAGCTTGCTGCTGCTGCTCCGACTCTCTTGCCCCCACTAGGTGGGAGGAGGGTAGGGAGTGCTTCAGTGCTGTCTCATGAAGCAGGTGCCCACACAAAGGTACACATGCTTCGCAAGCACTCACGTGAGCACACACTAGGCATCGCACCGTTCAGTCCTCATAAACAGGTACGTGCACATCCACGTACCTGTGGCTACGTGAACACTCGCTGGAGTTTCACACACACGGGCTACCCACACCACACAAGTCTTTGCATGTTACACAGGCACACAGCGATACTTGAGGCTTGTGCACAGGCCAGATGGAGGTAGTCAGAGCTGGAAGGAGACAGGCCGTCACACGGAGGGCTGTCTCTGAAGTCCAAGGTTTTTTTTTTTTTTTTTAAAGATTTATTTATTCATATGGAACTGGGGTACAGGCCAGAGATGTGGAGGGTGAGAGGATTCACCAGAGACAGAGAGGGAAGCAGAACAGGCAGATCTACGAAGTACACTGCTGAGGGAGCAGGGGGCGGGTCAGGAGAGGTCTGCAGCGCCATGTGGATCTCCTCCGAGGCAGGCGGGGATCGAACTCATGCGGAAGTGGCTTTAGCTACTTAGTGCTGTGCTTTAACCTGCTGCGCCACCAGGGAGGGCCAGGTCCAAGGTTTCTAAAGGAAAAGATGGACTGATGTTGAGATTAACCTAAGACACCTCATGGTTCCCAAATATTGGCTAGGATTTTGATGCTTTGGTGTCTGCTGGGACCTCAGACTTGGCTCATGGCTTGGGAAGGGGAAGGTGGTCTCTTTAGGACCCTCCAACTCCAGGTTACCTCAGGCTCTTGGTATCCTGCTCTGGCTGTACCATGGGGGTAACCCATGGGAGGTGGAGAGCATTTGAGCCTAAACCCTGGTTCAGGTCTGTTGTGGAAACAAGTCCCCCAAAATAGCAGCTACAGAGATGGAATCCCTGGGTCTCTGTTGCCGAGAACCAACCAGCCCCTCGCACCATAGGACTTTTCTGACCTAAGCAGGAGAGCACCAAGCCCCTACTTCAGTTTTCAATAAAGTTTTAGAGGAAACTAACTCCTGGCTACAGGGTGGGAAAGAGCCCAGTAGGGGGAGCTGCTGCCTCTTCACTGGGGTGAGTTCTCTTTGCTGGTGTCCACCCACTTAACACGCTGTCGGAAGCAGCCTGCACTCCGTAGGTACTTGGCATGTATTTGTTTATTGGCTTTAAAGCCAGAGGGGAGAGCTCTTGTGAAAAGAAATTTTCTCCTACCCAGGCCCCCCCCAGTTTGAGATTAGTATGCCCTGAGACAAGGACTGGACAAAAAGGGTGTTCCCCTCCCAGGTCTAGGGGAAGTCCTGGAGTCTCTGGTAGTCCAGGGGGCAGTTCCATCCAGACAAGGTAGGGTGTCCCCATGGGTCTCCTGTGTGGCTGTGGGCTGTGGGGTGTGAACAGTGCAAGGCGTACATCCTCCAGCAGCGAAGGCGGCCAGCAGACCGGCTCTGCCTACCTGTAGAGGCTGGTGAGGCCAGGGCCTGTTTGGACTTGAAACAGCGAGGCAAGTGGGTTTACGGGGCTGGCCTTCCTTCCCAAGCTCTCCCAGGGTTTCAGTTCAGTGTCTCATGCACAGGGTGCTGGGAATGGGAGTTGAAGTCTAGGTGGGAGTCCTGGCCCAGAGCCCCAGGTGAGTGGAGGTTGGGGGTGGGCCAGAAATACCATGTTGGGGCTGAGCCGGCAGGTTCTTGGACTGGTTCTTGGCCTTGTGCAGCTGCTTCCTGGGGTCAGAGAGTACGCTCTCCCTGCCAGCCGGTCACAGGGCTGCCCGCTAGCAGGGCCCCACCCAGCTAGCTCCACGGCCTCGGTCTGTTTCAGTCGAACGTGCAGGAAGGCTCAGGGAGTGTTTACTTTGCCTAAAGCACCATGGAGGCTGCACGAGCTGCCAGGTTCACGCTTCTGCTTGTTCACCTTCCCAAACTCCTCTGGTCAGAGGATAACAAACCCTCCACACGTGCCCTGTAAGGAAGCTCCCCGTTCCTCATCCCCAGGTCCGTCATCATCATGACGGGAAGTGCTGTTTCATGTTTCTCCTGACTGAAGTTTGCCAGTCTCCCTGCCCAGTCTTGCTGTTCCTCGTGGCCCTAAGTAACCGCAATGTCCTCCCCCCCCACCCCCGTGTGAGGGGAGCAAACCAGGCCGGAAGTGCGGTCCTGAGCCCTCTGCCTCGGTAGGGTGGCCGGAGAAGCTGGTCCAGAGCAGAGCCCAGGCCCTAGGCAGAGGAGTTTTATGTAGGGACTGCGGTGTTTGGGGCTAAGAAGAGGGTGGGGAGAAGCGGTTTCCTTCCCTCCTGCCGTCTGTCACCTGACGGCCATGCTCAGATCATAAGTGTTAATGAAGTTGTGGTGCCACGGAGGCAGCTGGGCAGCCCCCTTGCCCCAAATCAGCCTGACTCATTTGCAGCTTTCTCCCAGTTACCCCAAAGGCTTCTCTCAGAGGTGAAAAATGTGGGGGGTTGGTTTCAGGTTTCATGTTTTCACATTACTGGGTGGAAAAAAACCTTTCCAACCCAAAACCCAGCTTCTACAGCAGAAACATGTCCTGAGAACACTGAAAATTTCCCCATCCTCTCTAGGCAGCCTCTCAGCAGCGGGGGCCAGTGTCAGAGGGGTTCAGAGGAGGCACTGGAGCCAAGCTGGGCAGGCTTGGGGACATCCCCTTTGGAGGTGGTGGCACTCGCCTTCCTGCTTGCTGCACGGAGGCTCTGCGCAGGCCCTTTAACCTGGAGCCCTGTCTCAGTGGCCACAGTGGGTTGCAGGAGGCCGGGCCAGTCAGCTCTGGACAGGCCTGGGTTGGGAAGGGAAGCTCGTTCACATCTCTAGCTAATTGGATTCCAGAAGGTCAGGGGCAAGTGTTCCTCCCTGGAGAGGGCTCTTTCGGTGGAGTGGTAGGTGGGAAGATGCAGGGTCCATCTGGCACATGGCGACTGTGGGGTGCTGCCGCCCCCAACCCCCGCCTGTCTGCCCGCCACTGACTGGTCACGTTTTAAACCCCCAACCCCGACGGGGGCAGGTGGCCTCCATGGCAGATGGAGACTGGGCCGTGGCGGTTGGATGAGCTTTCTCGTCTCAGCCTGGCCTTTCTGGGTAATAAGAATCTAGAGGGGCAGTGTCGGGTATGTGTGGGGGTGGTGCAGAAGAAGGAATCCTGGTCTAGCTGGGCCATTCTTGGGGAGAAGGACGGAAAGCCTGGAGGGAGTCGGTGGATCTTGGGGACACACCCAAGTTTGCTGGGTCCTGCTTGGGTCCCCGACACCGACCAGCCGCCCTGGCCCCCTAAGCTGCCCGGGGTTAGTTCTCCAGGGAAGGGGCCGGTCCTGTGGTGGTGGTGGGGTAGTCTGGGCTGCAGCTGCAGCCTGGTCAGCTTGACGTGGACCCCCTGCCTGGTCCCCCCCGGAGCTCAGCGCCTGGGCAGCAGCTCCTCCCTGAGGACGTGCAGGTTTATTATGTGCTCGGGCTCCCTCACTGCGCAGGCAGGCAGCGGCCTTCATTAGCGGAGGAGCTGGGGTCTGTTTTGGCTGCCTCATCAGCATCAGTGAACTGCGTCCCTGCGAGATTTGATACAATTTAATTAACCTAATTAAAAGCTCTGATTGCAGAGATGATTGGGGTAGCGCCAGCAGCGACTGCATATTTATAATGAGCTGCAAGGTGTGGGACCGCAGCCAAACGCCACGCATCCTAA